CCCCTCACACTCTCCCCCACACCTGCTCTCTCTCTCTCTCTCTCTCTCTCTCTCTCTCTCTCTCTCTCTCTCTCTCTCTCTCTCCCTCACTCCCTCCCTCCCTCTTCTCTCTCTCCCCTTGCCTCCCTCCCTCCCTTCTCTCCCTCCTTCCCTCCTTCTTCTCCTCCCTTCTCTCCCCAGTATTGACCTGAATCTCTCACCTCTGACCTTCAGCCTCCTCCACCTGTCTTTTATTTTCTGTTTATGCTTTCCCAAATCGGAAAAGGCGGGGGTGGGGTGGCAGAGGGCTCAGCCTCTGGCCAGTGCCCCAAAACCCGTTCTGAGGCCACGCTCTGCCCTGCCAGCCTCTCAATAATCCGAGGAGGTGTTAATGGAAGACTTGGCGGCAAGGAGCCTCATAAAGCCACGAGCATCCCGAGACTTGGGCGCAGCGGGGGTCGGAGGGGGGCTGGAGCCCCGCAGTGCACCCTGGGCTCCGGGACCCCAGCCTGCCTTTGCTTTCCTGAAGCCGGCACCTAAAAGATGCTGCCGCCAGCTGGTGCCTGCTGCATAGACGGTGAATGGGTGGTAGCGCCTGGGGAAACTGGGCTACGCTATTGATTGCTCACATACGGTCCCCGCCTTCTTCTCCCTATCCTTCGCTCAGCATCCGTGCTCCTAAGCCGGGCATTGGAGACCCAGCAAGTTGGAGGGCGTTCTGCGCTGGAGGGCGGCTTTTGTGACCAGTCTGCGAGGGGGCCCAAGACACCTGTCCCTCTTGGGTCCTTACTAAAGTACGGCGGCTGAGATTAATCTTCTAGAAGGAAATCTGCACTCAACTCCCGCACTCAAAAAACAGCTATCGAAGGGATGCTGTGTGACCCGGGACCCGGGACCCGGGACCCGGGGGTGGGGGCACCCTGTTACCTGGTCTAGGTTCCGCTAGGACTACGTAGCCTCGTAGCCTCGGGTTTCCTCGAGCGGCTGGTAGAGGAGAATCGGAAGCCAGACCTCTGGCCAATTATTTACCCCACTCCCCACCCTGGGCGCCCCTCGCAGTCGGAGATGGAGAGGCGGGGGATTAGCCGGGGCTCCCGCGCCAGTGGAGAAGGAGGTGTGAGCAGAGAGATTGGCAGCTCCTGAACGCCGGTCAGCACCGTCGCCGCCCTCCCCCACTGGTCTGCTCCCCAAAGCCCGGACGGTCTTAGCGTCTCCTTGACTTGGCGTGGGCCAATGGCTGGATGGGCTGAGGGCATTTGTGTGCCTCGATGCCACCAGATAAAATGATGGACTCATGTGGGGGCGGAAGTTCACCAGTCCCACAATCTCTCCACAGTTTGGGGGCTTTAAGGGACGGATCAGGAATGGTGAATCTAAACCCTCTCCCCTCCCTGGAGCGCTCAGTCTGCACCCTACACCACAGAACGTCGCTCGGAGCCCTAGGGACTTACTGTGCCCCCTGTTCCTCGGGAACACTAGGCTTCGTGATCTAGTCCCTCAAGCCAATCAGTTTACCGAATCGGACTTTCCCAGGCTCACCCGGCCTATTCAGCTTATTTTTTTCTACTGTGCCCTCCTGGAGGAGACAAGACTCTTGAGTTCAGCTTTATGCTAATCAGTGAACGAGCACTAGAAACTCTTAGCTAGAACACCTATGCGGCGCCTTTTAATTTCTTTGGGTAACTGTTTCAGGTATGTGGTAAGAATATACATGGGCGCGCGCGGGGGGGGGGTGAGATTGGGGGGAGAGAGGCAGAGAGACACAGAGACAGAGAGACAAAGATGCAAAAGGAGAAACATTTTGGAATCTGGATGTACATCTTAACTATTGTAGGATGGTGAAAAAGCAACACAGAGCTTTAAACTGACAAATGTCAGCTCACAAGCTTTAGCCATCCTCCGTGGAAGGTAGAGAAGATGAAGGGGACGATGTAGGTAAGGAGTGAAGGGTGATGAGTGGAGGGCAAGATTCCTTTGGGGGCTGACCTGAGACTCTAACAGCTGAAGAACACAACATAGCAAGTGTCGTTCATCAGGTAGGTAGGGAGCCTCCTTCCCTAATCTTGTCTGGAGAAGAATCAAAGCCCCACCAATTTTTGATGTTAGAAGCTTGTTGAGCAAAGGACTTTGCAAACGCCTTTGGAGAAGGGGCACTTTGTTGAAACAAAGATCCTTGGTGGAGCCAGTGAAGACGTCAGGATCTCATTTGTTGCAAACACCCTATTTGGCACTTGAAGCTTTACTTGAAAGGATAAAATTATTTCTCATCTCGACCTGCTTAATCAGCGGGGACAGTGTAGCTCCCAATGAGAGAGGAGTGTGTATCACCATTCACAGCTAGGGAGGACCTTCTCCCAGCAGGGAGAAGAACTAACCTCAGAAAATGCATCTCCACTCCTGCTCTAGTAACCATAGTTTCTTTGGGGTTATTCTGTGTTAGGAACAATCCAAAAATCAGTCTCTCTTGATTGATCGTGCCCTGGGGCAGAAGGAGTCTCCAGAAACCTTGAAAGTGGTGCTACACCAGAGTTGATTTATATGGGGACATGGTTATTTCTGGGCATCTCCATAAGAGACCTGAGTTTTTACTTTACAATGTGTGAAAACAATATAGCCTAAACCCTCTGTAGCAAAGTCCATTTATGTGGCAATATTGTGTTTACTGTGGGAGCACCTGCCTACTGCCACGCTGTTATACTGTGGTTCAGATGCGTCTCTCCAGACCCAGAGCAGATCTAACGGCCTCCTCCTGCCTCCCTAACTCAGCAGCCACTGTGCTGCAAGTTGAGATCCCAAGAATTGCCAACTTCCTGGATGGCCAGTTCTGTTTGTTTGTTTGTTTGCTGGTTTTGCAAGGATTGCACTTAGACTAAGAAAGAGCAGCCAGGGGGTAAAAGGCTCCCCCTGGGAGTTCCTTCCATCTACCAAGGTTCTTTTTCTAAACATGCCCTTAAGTAAGACTCCTTTTCAATACACCCCCCACTTCTTCCTTTCCTAGATTCTTCAGAAAGATAGTCTTCTTAGACTATATTTCTTTAGAACATCCTCCATCCACTACCCAAGAAACTATCTGTTTAATCTTCAATTTTAGTTAAACAGTAGAAATTCATGGTTGCTCCTGGACCTAAGAATGGGAAAGTGGCTGCTTCAAGCAATCCTTATGACTTTCTGAAAAGATTAACAGCCTTCACAACCTCAACTCCCCCCTTCCTCAAAATGGATATGATCATCCCAGGTCCAATATCGTAGCATTTCAGTCCATGAAAGCTTCAGGCACCTTACAAGCATCTTGGAGGGAGGGGTGCTTTCTAGAGTACCAGAGTCAGAGGACTAGAAGAAATGAGCCATCAACATGATCAACAGGCATTGGGGGCAATTTAATATGGGGCATGAAAAGTATGTAAATAACAAAGTAGTAACTAAAGAAAAACAGAATCACTAGAAATTTGTTTTCCCATATTTTATAGCTAAGATGGACTTTTATTTGGCTCTAGAACCTTTTGGTTACTTAAGATCTGATAGTCTCTGAGTGGTTCATGTTTGAGGGTCAACTCTGGGCAACAAGCCTCATTTTATTTCATCACTCTTCCACCTGCAGACAAAGGGCTTCTCAGTGGCTGCTGTCCTGCTAAGGAAGCAGAGAAGGTGTGAAAAGAAGAGTCCATGGGAGAACTTGCCTCACCAGAGGCTGGGCTCTCACAGGGGAATCACCACAGTGGACAAAATGGATGCAGGGCAAGAAAAGATGTTCAAAGGTAGCTATGCCTCAGAAGTGTCAAAAGAAAATGTGGCAGACTGGGAAGAGGGAGAATGAAAAATGATCTAAGGGAGGGACGTTTAGTGGCCCGACCCCTAGGTTAAAATGCTCTGAAATTTACACTGAAAGAACAGATGGACAATGAGAGCATCTCTTGCTGGAGGATGGCATTTCTTGGGGTATGCTGCACTACATGGCATTATACCCATCTCCTTAAGCTGATGGCGTAAATAAAGTGAAGAATGTACTTGCTATTTGCCAGCAACCTTCTTTGCACTGATGAGAAAACACGGGGGGTAGCAAAGCTAAGGAAAACCCAATGGTACTCCTGTGGCCCAGCGGCTGCTTTCATATACTAATAGGACAGCCATTGTTTTCATCTTCAACATATGCATGTGATCGTGCAGCAAAAAGGAAGGAAAATCATGTCCATTTTATGGATGTTCTTTTGAATACATGCACTTAATACTAAATAGGTGTTCAAATATTTGCAACAGATAAGAATTCTAGGTTAGGGCTTTATTTTCAAAAACATTAATTCAACTTGACAGAACAGAGGTAAAGTTGTTGTCAAACATAAAAGTAGGAGTTGAATTGCTTCTTTTTAGATGGATCTTTCACATTGACTTGGCCATATGGACACTGAAAAAGAAGGACAACAAATTATTATCAATTTATTTAACAGTCACTGTGGGAACATACACTTCTCATGGTGGGAAAAAATGGGGGCTGTTAATGATGTTTCAGATCATTTGATCTATCATGTTTTGGGTACTACACAATGCAACCTTGGGTAAACAGGCTTAATTAGGGTCCAAGAACCATTTCCTGGGTGTATTTCCCTCCAATCTCAAGAGTTTTATTATCAAACCCCCATTCTTAAAAAAAAAATCCATGGCTCCTACATTTATGAAAAGCTCTGATTAGGAACAGCTCATGGCATAGGTGGGGTATCCAGAAGACTGAAAAGTGACTTTTAAAACACTGTCTACAGTTCATATGTGTATTTGGTGTCTAAGAGTCAATTTAAAAGTGGGCAAGTGAAAGGAAATAACATCTTCCTGCAGGAACAACATACAACATGTCTGTAAACAGTTGTTACCTGTTCTTAATCTTAACAAAACAACAATATAACTGATTTCTTCTTTGCTCAGACTAGAGGAAGGAATAGTTCATTCATTTTGACCATTAAACATAGGCATCTATCTCCTGAAATAAGCATACTCAGACCCACAGCACTAATTTTGGAGTAATGTACCTTCACAGTTCGTTAAAATACCAACTAAAAGAAAGCAGAGAAAGAAGTATGGGAAGGGAGGTAGGGAAAGAGGGAAGCAGGAGGAGGAGGAGGTGGAGGAGGAGGAGGAGGAGGAGGAAGAGAGAGAGAGAGAGAGAGAGAGAGAGAGAGAGAGAGAATATGAACCACAGGAAAGCAGAGCAGTGCACTGGATCTGCCCAGGGAAAGGGGACTGTGGACCAGGGAGTGGAATGCAAGAGGAGGAAGTCTTATCATTTGATGGAGATCCATGTCTGTCTCAATGACGGGCAATTTTCTGTTTCTTAAGATGGCAGTATTTCTAGGATTTGGTCAGCAACATTTTTGTTTGTTTCTCTTTCTGCTCTCTGTGCTTGCCTAGTGAATACAACTTCTTTCAGACTTCATGAAGGTTTTCCTCCCAATAAAAATCTCCCCTGAATTTCAAGTCTTAGCATTTTGGAGGAGCTGATGCTTGCAGTGAAACAGTACAAAATTCCATTAACTTTAAAGGTCCTGGGTTGGTACTAACAGCTTCATTGTCCTTTGCTGAAACAGCTTGTGAAAAGCACACTCTAGGTCTATTTAGCTTTTTTATTTGACTTGTTGTTCAAATAATAGGTATTTATGAAGTTACAGAAGCTCAGCAAACTGCTGGGGTAATTGGACAATTGTTACTCACATGTCTGCAGGCAGAACCACAGCAGGCACCTCTCTGCAAGTGGGCCAGTCTTGTGAGCACTACATAGCCCGTAGCTGGGTCCACATAGCTTAGCTGGCCAGCCTGAAGAGTTATAAAACAATGCATTAATCTTTGTTAATATCCATCATATCTCTCTAATAGTGGTTTTAGTTCAAAACTACTGTCAAAATAAAAAAGAATAATAGTACATTTCTCTCCCAGTAATTGTAGTGGCATTTGCAATTAAGGAGTGAATGTATTTCCACGTTATATACAATCTAACTGTATGGGATTAAAGGGAAAACCATACAGTTTGAGTAAGATGAGAAGTTGATGGAAAAAACAAGAAGTTGTCTGTATGCAATAACTATGTAGCCACCACTTTTGATATTTTTCATTCTGCATCTAGGCAACAAGCTCCATAACGGGAGATTTAGATGATTTTAAGAGCTTAAGAGGCTGAAAATGAACTTCACTCAGAAGTTGCAGTTACAATTTCTGGACTTACAATATGTGAATAGTGATTGAAATTCACAGAAGAGGTGCTAATCAAAGCCAAACAGCCCTTGCAGGAAAGCATTACCTTTGCTATTATTGAACACTTTCCATACCTTCATGATGTGTTACTCCACTCCACAGTCCACACTATTTCCCTTTCCTCCCCAGCTCCCAGTATTGTTAGTTCTAGTATTAAATAAAAAAGTATTGTTTTGCCACATTAACACTCATTGGTTTAACAAACTTGATCAAAAGCAACTTCCAGTATACAACTTCAAATGTCAGAGAAGCATTTTCCATCTAGGGACAAGTATCACTTTAATGATGTTTCTTAGCCTCCAGATTTTATGTAACATTTTCACCTTTAGTAACTCAGTGTTGCACTGAGTATATCACTCTTGCATATAGAGTTTCATTAAAATATGCATGAAGGCAGCAGGTTTTCATACATACATTTTTCTTTTCTTTTTTGGAGATAGGGTCTCACTATATTGCCTTGCCTGGCCTGGAATTCACTATGTAGTCCAGGCTGGCCTCGATGTGTTGGATGAAAGGTGTGACAAGCTATAGCATAATTTTTTTTTAATTAGCCATGAACAACTTCAGCTGTTCAGTGTCATATTTAATGACCTCACTTTATGGCTCACAATTAGACCAACTTATTTTGGTTCAAGTCTAGGTTCACTCTAAGGCATTCCCACACAGACAGACCATGGCACTAAGAATCCAGCAAGTTTCAATGATGCTCTCAGGGGCTTCCCAATCCTGCAGTCATATGACAGACACCAGGTACACTCAACACTACTGGAGAATGACCCACTACCAGGACCTCACTTCTTTTTCTTTTCTCTTCTCCATCCCCACAAGGCTCTGTTTGAAGTTCTGGAAGGCAAATAAACAAAACACTGCAAAGTCTTCAGTAGCCTTCATTTTTCTTAGCTTCCGTGTGTTTTCTGGGGGCAATTATCTGGCAAGCCAACAGGCCGCTTTTACCCATGTGCTCTCCTGCTCTTCATGTGGCTACAATGCACCTCTGAGTTTGCTGACTGCCTGCACACACCCTGTCCTCATTAGATGTGCCTCAGATAATGATGGCAACAAAGATGAGGCAAGTGTGCTACAGGTCCCCTGGAGAACACGATGACCATGGAAAGCAAGATGTCCAGTGACGATGCCATCATGCAGCAGAACGCTAAGAGGGTTCTCTGCCTGGAGGCATGGAGAAGTACTGTTGCTTGGGAGCTCTTGATTTGTCGAAAAGAGCAATACCAAGGTTGCTTTTTTGTGTTTAATTACAGTCTCCTGGACAGTCATGTAACCTGTGAAACCCACTTTGATGAAAAGTTGTGGGTTCCCCAGTGCAAGTAAGTTCCTTTCTCTTCCCGTGTTGACTGAACCGTCTCTACATGCCACTGTTGTTTGCTCTGAAATGAGACTTTTGAGTTTTATCCACCATACTTACATGGTGACTAGTGGGAACAAACTCTATCTAACATAGGAGAATAAGCAAAAACATCAAATGCTGCCAATAATCTCTTGATAAATCTTTATTGCCTTTCAACACCTGAAAGGGTCAGTGGATTCTCAGGGCCTACTATTGTCAAGGGAAAGATGTCAACCTTAGGAAACATTCAAGGTTTTCCTCTCTACCTCTGTGGTTCAAGCCAACTCAAGTAACACTCAGGGGTCTTATCAAGTACTAGTCACACAGAGAGCTTAATATACAGGTTTATTACAAATCACTTTTATATCATCATAGAACTTAAAATATAAAAATGCTACCTTCAAAACTCTTGTAGTCAGAGTTGTCAGGAAACTGGAGGTAGATAAGGTTAGATATTAGTGGTGACAAGCAATTGTCAAATCCACAAACCAGAAGAAAAGGTTATTCAAGAAGGCCTAGGGGAAAATGCAAACTTGCCCCGCAGTAAATTCCTCTGCTCACCTGGACTGGAGGCAAAGAATGAAAGGGCATAGGGCAAAAATGCAAAGCGTCTGCCTTATGCTTTCATTATTAAAGTTACTGGATGGCAGGCTGCTCAAGTTATCGTGCACAGGCAACATGTCTGTACAACATACTTCTCCCCCCTAACTGCTCAGTCCTTTGGTCTTCTGTTCCTTAACATCCCCCTTTCCCTACCCAACACACTCACACACTGGAGGGCACGCGCGCACACACACACACACACCGTGACAAGTCTTAAGGTGGGACACTCATCAGAGACTGCGTCCCACTCTCGGGGCAGACCCCACTGTCCGGAATGCAACAGCGAGGCCAGATTTCTCGCAGGATCCTCCCAGCAGATGCACGAAGCCGACCCGCCCCAGGCCGGAAGGCTCAAGACCTACAACTCCGGCACCTCCTCCCCGGGGTCTGCCGGGCGATCGCGCGCAGGCGCAGAGGCCGCGGGGCGGGCTGGAGAGAGCCTCACCGCGCAGGCG